ACAAACATATGGTCATCATTAAAATTTAATCACAGTACACACACACCCCTCTCAACACCAGCTCTCTCACCTACATGTGTTTGTGTGCGCAGAGTATGTGAACGCCCAGGAGGTCGCTACAGACATGAAGTCCATCACAGATCGAGCTGCTCAGACGCTGCTGTGGACAGAGCTCTTCAGAGGTCAGCTGAATGTCACACATATGAATAACAGTGCATATTACAGATGCAAGATTAGTAAACTAATCTGGCTTTCCTTTCCCTTATACTTGTAGTCATGCAAAAACTAAAAAAAAAAATGTGACAACGTAGAGAAAAGGATCTGCATTGATGTCTGTTTTTCATGCAATACTGCCCTGCTTGGCGCCATTTGAACGAATCAACATGTGGCCACAGAGATATGTCTTTATTTTTTGTTGTTTCTTTCTGAATAATGTCAATATTATCACAGTGTATGTTGTACTTGCATGTTCATATTTAAAAATGCTTCATAGGGACATTAGGGCAGTGTGTACAGAGTAAATAGCACCAGATAGAGCTCCACCACAGGAGGTGGTTTGGCTGCTGTTTATCCATTACCAAATTTTTTTTGTCCATGTCATCTGTATCAGTGTCAGTTGGAGGAATGTTTTTTTTTCTCATTCATACATGAATGCTTGTGTTGTGACGTCAGGTCTGGGCATGACAATGAGCTACCTGCTTAGAGAACCCGCCACTATCAACTACCCGTTTGAGAAGGGACCTCTGTCGCCTCGCTTCAGAGGAGAACACGCACTGCGCAGGTGAGGGTAACAGCTGCTGTCTGAAAGCACCTTAAAACTTACATTTGGAATATACTGTGTCATGTGTGACTTAGCATATCAGTTGCCAGTGTCCAAAGCAGCACTTTATCAAATCTTTGTAATGATGTTACACCAGGTATCCTTCAGGAGAGGAGCGCTGCATCGCCTGCAAGCTGTGTGAAGCTATCTGCCCTGCGCAGGTACACACACACACACACACACACACACACATTCACCAGAGGTGAATTTTAAAAATGAACAAGACAAAGCTCATTTGGCTATTTGTATGTTTAAAGCCTTACTGTGAATAACACATGAAATGTATGATCAAATATACATTTTATGTCAGCTGGGAATAAATATAGGCACTTATATTCAACCTTAATAGCAGATAACAGTTTAGAGAAAAGCTCTGTCAGTCAGTCTAATTATCTTCAACGCTGTTTGTATCCAGGCCATCACCATCGAAGCAGAGACTCGTGCTGACGGCAGCAGGAGGACGACTCGCTACGACATTGACATGACCAAATGCATTTACTGTGGCTTCTGTCAGGAGGCGTGTCCTGTGGACGCCATCGTAGAGGTATGTTTATGGTCCTGGTGATTTATGACACATGGGGTGCCTGCAGGTCCTTGGCATGTTTAGAGTTACAGTAAATTCAGTTTTGTGTGACACATATCGCACGATTGTAAGTTCTTTAAACAGTCCCCTTATTTCCATATGACTGTGTTTCAACATAGTCATACAATGCTGCAACACCTGATAGGAAAACTAATTAAAGAAAAGAATATGTAAAAGTTGGAATGAAGTAAGACCTTGACTAAAAAATATGTTTTCAAATCCATCAGTTATTCAGTCTAGGGTTGGTGATATTGAAGATCCCCTACTGACAATATTGCTGTAAGAAAAACTATTATGAAATTAAAAGCAAAAGAGAGAGATGGACATGCATGTAGATCTCTTTGGACTAGAGATGCATGTGTTGCAGTACCTGTAAGTGGCCACAAAGTGAGCAAGCACTGTTTTACACAAGGGCATGCTGAGGTCAGTAAATCAGATCAGTCAATTGGTGAGATAACAGTGATTTTGAATGTGACATTCCTCAATCCCGCTCCTACCTCTGATCCCTTGCCTCTCTTACACTCCTCTCTCCATCCTCTCTCTGTCCTTCTGTCTTCAGGGTCCCAATTTCGAGTTTTCCACTGAAACCCACGAAGAGCTGCTCTACAACAAGGAGAAGCTCCTCAACAACGGAGACAAGTGGGAGGCAGAGATAGCTGCTAATATACAAGCTGATTATCTGTATCGATAGACCCCCATTCACACCCACTCCCACACACACATACACAGTGTACAGTTAGCACACACCAGAATAACCTCTGTGACACACACACACACATACGTCCATACTGTACATACTGTAAGAAGACTCGGCTGTGGATGTGCTTCAGGGTTGGATTTGGGACTTGCAGATGCATCTTTTATTCAAACCAAACATCAACACATTTCCTCTGGTGTCAGTGTCATCCCTCTTTGATCTGATAAATATACCTTGATATGTCGCTGATTTTTACCATGTCATTGTTTTGATTACATATTTATTGTAGATTGATGAATACTGCACTGGTTGTTTGTGTGATGATGAGCGTACAACAGTGCAGCTGTCTCAGCGTGGTCCAGTCACCGGTCATGCTGTGGCAGCGTCGGTGCTGTACACTGATGGCAGATTGCAGATGTCCCACACAAGCTTACATGGATTATTTTATTATCTTGGATGTCAGTGCAGAGTTTTATGGTCTTTGTGCTGTTTCCATCCTGACTCAAGAAATAAAATTCTGGGATTAAAAAGTGTGTCGAGTGTAGTTCCATCTTGACTTTGGGAAAAGAAATAACAACAGTAAACCACATCTCAAGGTCGCCAAGCTGAGCAGACTCCATCCATCCATTGACTTAACTGTTCAAGACAAACAAAAACAGGTATGTTGTAACAAGAGTTCAGGACATTTCCAGCAGTGTTTGTAGCAACAAAAGCAGGTTTTCCTAACCCTAACAAAGAGGTTTTTGTGCCTAAACCCTACCACATGTTAACCACAGAGCCGTTGGAACAAAAAATTGATAAGTGAAATGTTAAGTTTAAATATACCTGCTACATATGAAACATACAATGTAATATATCCGTGGCTTGCAGAAATTTACAATGCCAACATTTATTCTGACGATTGGGTTGCTTCTGCGACAGCAAAAACAGTACAACATGTCTAGTGGAGTGGGTGCTGGACCAAAGAAACGTCTGGCAAAGTAAAAAAAAAATAAGTGCGCACCAAGCAGCGAGAGATTTAATGCAGAATGATGTTTGGAGCCACATGGCTCTTCCTCAGACTTCTGAAACATGACAAAGTCAGGATATAAAAAGTGTACTTGCTGGTATTCTCCCCTTAAATATTTTTCAAAAGTAGCTTTGGCACAATATTGGGGTACACAGGTACATGTATATGTATTATCTTGGTTTATTTTTTTATGAATGGGCTACAGGTGTGGCATGTCACATGACTGGCTCAGGCAGCACTATGGGTATTTAATATGGCGACTTTCTGTCATGTATCAGAAGTCTGAGGAAGAGCCATGTGGCTTCAAACATCACTGCATTAAAATCCTAAACAGAAGCTACTTGGTGTGGACTTAATTGTTTTTTACTTTGCTTCTATAATAGTGCTTGAATAGCTGGGGATCCAACAGCTTCTCTTGTTTTTACCTGGTCCAACATGTTAAAAATTAAACTCAGCCCTACTAAAACTCAGCTCATTGTATTCACCAGAAACCCTGAGGTCAAACCAGTGATCCACTTCTCCTCTCTTCCTTTTGACCCACCTCATAGTAAAAATACAGGCAAAGTTTCAAGGAGGTGATATTACAAAAAAACATGATTTGGAGCACCCACATCAAAAGGAGATCATCAATCAACCATCTCAGAACACTCAGCGACACAAACACGGAGCATCACCTGAATCATCCTGAGGGCTTACCAAACATATAGAATATCAGATCAAACTTTATGCAGCAGCAGCAGCCAGGACCACAACATCATAACACCAATTCAACAGAATACAAATCATTCAAAACAAGGCAATAAAAATTGCATACAGACTCCCATTTCACATCAGCACCCATTAAATCCAGTGTGTCCAGACTCAAAACAGCAAGGCAAGTTTATTTATACAGCATGTTTAGGGGCTCTATTGGTTTGCCTTGATGATCTACTGATGTGGTGCCGCTGTGAATGAGATAAGTCCTGCTGTCTCTTGTTTTTGTATTATTCTGTGGATGTTGTAAGCTATGTGATGAAGAGTAGTCATTACTGTGGTAACAACTAATGGGGATCCTGAATAAAGAATAAAGCACTTAGATAAAACATCGTAAGCATCAAGACAAGGTGCAAAAGAATCATATTATAAAAAGACATTTAAAACAATTCATTAGAAGAGGAATTCATTTTGAAGAGGAATCAGTTTTGCAGTCATGAATAATTCGGTGCTTCCGATTTTATGGTACTAATTATGTATTGCAGTCTGTGTCTTGTCTGTATTTTTATTGTTTGTACCTTGCACTGTTACTTGCGTTCTTGTTGCTGAGGTGTTTGTATCTTAAGACCCAGCCAGGGATGGGTATTGCAGATTATCTTAGGCTATAAATGCTGTTGTGAGTGGCATTAATGTATGCTACATACTTGTCCCTATACAAATTAACATCAAATAAATAAAGAAGTAGAGAATAGCAAAAAAAAACTTGAAATATATTTAGGTGGTATAAAATACAAGAATGAAAGTTAGAGGTATAAAGCCAGGTATATGATACAATAATACAAGACAGGTATGAACCATTCAAAGAGAGAAGCATCATCTTCAACATCCATAACACACAACCATAACCATCAAAATGTCACTAACAGTAGCCCCATGATCGCATCTCATTTCAACCTATTAGTTATATTTATATATGTTATATATATATTATGTCTGTTTAGTTGTCCTTGACCCAGCATGCCTGCACAGGTCTGTTTATTTTGATTATTTCCCTCTGTTTTATTTCAATTTAATATTTATAATGAAAATTAATATTAAAACAGTTGAGGGTTCAGCAACACAGCCCGGGTCCCATGGGTGCTCTCCTCTCTCCTCCCACCCTGAGCATCCTCCTCCAGGCTCGTGAACTAGTGGACGAACCGGAAACTGTAAAGCACAAACCGTTTGTCAGAGAAGATGAGGATACACTCAGGGGATGATGATGATATTAGCTGAGGAGAGACAGTGGAGGAGAAAAGGTGAGGCTTTATTTGTTTATCTGTGGCTGTTAGTGTTCATCGATAACACTCCGGGTTTTAACAGTTTAACTTCCGGCTGCTCGCTGCTAACCTGTGTGAGCTTGTTAGCTTGGAGATGCTAATCCGCAGCTGTGTGAATTAGCTCCGTGTACATGAACCTGGATGTTTTGACACACGAGGACGTTACTGTGACTGTAGACTGTGAACATGAAGTTAAATGTGAACAACGTTGTTAATTGATGCGCAAACATACCGTTAAGACTTCTTTACAAACGTAACTGTTCTCGTGTACTGTTGTGCTGTACTGCCACTTTATTAGGTACACCTGTTCAACTGCCTGTTAATGCAAATAGCGAATCAGCCAATCACATGGCAGCAACTCAATGCATTTAGGCACGTAACGTTAGATATGGTCAAGACAACCTGCACAAGTTCAAACTGAGCATCAGAACTGGAAAGAAAGGTGATTTAAGTGACTTTGAACATGGCATGGTTGTTGGTGCCAGACGGGTTGGTCTGTCAGAAACTGCTGATCTACTGGGATTTTCACACACAACCATCTCTAGGGTTTACAGAGGATGGTCTGAAAAAGAGGAAATATCCAGTGAGCAGCAGTTGAGCAGCCTTGTTGATGTCAGAGGTCAGAGGAGAATGGCCAGACTGGTTCAAGATGATAGAAAGGCAACAGTAACTCAAATAACCACTGGTTACAACCAAGGTCTGCAGAAGACCATCTCTGAACCAACAACATGTCGAACCTTGAAGCAGGTGGGCTACAGCAGCAGAAGACCACACCAGGTGCCACTCCTGTCAGCTAACAACAGGAAACTGAGGCTACAGTTCACACAGGCTCACCAAAACAAATAGACCAGGTCAATAAAACCAGTAAAAAGTAGAGCCAGTGGTTGGTTTCCTCATAGATGAGGACCCTCTCCCTAAGTAGCCGTTAAAAGCTCATTCAAATGTAGACACAGCAGTTATTATTTTTAGGTGATTATACACTAGAGAAAACATATTTATTATATTCTATTTCTGCCAATATATCCCCTTAAATCCTGCATGCTGGACCCTTAAATACTTTAAAATCAGAATTACTGTCTGTGTCTCTTTAATTCACTGCACCCAAAATATAGATATGATTTTTACAGTATGACAGAGAGATTCAGACTATTTTTTACTATCCTCTGCATTCAGCTGTCGGTCTGCTTGGTCAGTACTCAACTACAGCATCTTAAAGGTCCAGTGTGCAGGATTTAGTGGCATCTAGAGGTCAGGTTGCAGAACTGAAACTTCTCCTGTGTGCCAAGTGGTAGAACTAAAGTGACTGATTTGTGTGTATCCCACTGGCTAGCTCATCACCGCTGCATTACTCTGCACTCATACAGCAGTTACCGCTGAAATCAGGTTGCCGTCTTCACAGAATCGTAGCACTCACCCTCCATTTTCCCCCTGGTTACTGTTACCTCTGTCAGCACTGCTGCTGTTGTTTAGTGCTGCTTGTAGAGTTGTCACTGTTAGCTGCTAGCCGCCAGCTCAACCACCTCCACACTGAGAACCATGTGCAGAAAACTCATACTCTCTGGGCTTCAGATAGAGCCCCTTTAAGGGGGTATTGTCGCAGCCCTGCTATAGTCACCTCTAGCCACAGTATTATTGTCACTATTGTTATTGTGTGTTTCTGCTCTGACCCGACTGTCTTTATTCAATGATTTCAGATGTGAAACAAACTGGTGGGAAGACAGTCATTTGGAGGACGGTAACTTGATCAACAAGGTGGTGAAATGAGTTCTTCAGAAGAGGTGAGCTCAAATAGAAATAACCATTATCCAGTATTTTGTCATGACCGTGGCCACCGTAGATTAAAGCCGAGTCAACAAGGCACTTCTCAGCTGCTGTCACGTGATATAGTCAGCATGGTGTAAATTCCCCAGCATCAGCTCCATAAATACATTGGAGTGATGTCTCACTCTCCATGGTGCCAGGCTTTATTCTGTGGTAGTCACCATGGCTTGCGCAAGCAAATCAAGTCTAAGTAAGAAAACAAATGTGTCGTGGATTTACCTGGACTATAATAATATAAGTGATAAATTCAACATAATGTCTGTTTCCATGGGGTAAACTCCATCAGTTCAACAACACTCAAGCTATAATCAATTCTCAAAGTACTTTTACTTTGCTGTTTATTTTATTACTTTTAAGCTACCGCCAGTGAAACTGGAGGCTTGAAATTTCACATTAAATGCCTACCAAGAAAGCAGCTTAAAGGCTTTTACTTACTTTTTGTTGAGTGTAATTGACACCAGCTCAACACGGACTGAAAAAACAGCAAGGTGTAAGCGATCATTATAACTTATTGATTGAAATGACAAAAGGGTGAGGTGAAATAGAAGTCCTGTTTCTAAAGGTGTGTATCAAATATTGGCCTGGTTCTCACTGCGGTGTTACTGACCTGACTCAGTATATTGTTTAGTAGGCAACAGTGTTACATGTTAAGTTCCACAGCATGGCTAGCTAATGGGTGGCAGTATTTTATCTAGTCCTCCACTCTGACTTTTATTTCTCTCTGTTTCTCTCAGCTGAAAGAGGCAGACACAGACGTTAGCAGACCTCATCAGTGTCAGACGTGTGGGAAATCTTACAGTCGGATCTGTAGTCTCAAAAGACATGAACTCACTCACACTGCAGACAAACTGTACCACTGTGAACAATGCGACAGCAGCTTCAGTGAGCTAAAGACATACAAGCTCCACCTGCAGACCCACACTGAGGAAACACCATACTGCTGCAGCCTGTGTGGGAGACATTTCAGCGACCAGAGCTCATACAGAAAACACCTGAGCAACCACACTGGACCATACCAGTGTGACCGATGTGAAAAGACCTTCAGTCAGTGGGGTAATTTCACAGTACACCTGCGCGTCCACACTGGAGAGAAACCACACCACTGTGACTTATGTGGGAAAAGCTTCCGTTGTTTAAGTACTTACAGAAACCATGTGCGCACCCACACTGGAGAGAAACCTTATTGTTGTGACTACTGTGGGAAGAGATTCACTCAGTTCAGCACTTATAACCAGCACCTGCGTATCCACACTGGAGAGAAGCCGTATCAGTGTGAGCAGTGTGGGAAGAGTTTCAGTCGCTCGAGCAATTACAAGCAGCACCAGCGCGTCCACACTGGAGAGAAATCAAACTGGTGTGATCAGTGTGGGAAAAGTTTCAATCGGCTAGGAAGCTACGTCCGACACCTTCGTGTGCACACGGGGGAGAAGCCATACTGGTGTGAGCAGTGTGGTAAAGGCTTCAGTCAGCCAGGGAGTTACAACCAGCACCTACGGATCCACACAGGAGAAAAACCGTACTGGTGTCAGCACTGTAAGAAATTCTTTACGTGGTCTCTGTCCTTGAAGAGACATCGCTGTGTTGAAATAGATGGAGAGAGCTCAGACTGTGTATAGGAAAGAAAAGACTCTCATCCTTTTCCATCTCAGAGTGAGTGTCTAAGTACAATTGTGCGTTTAGCTACTGTTACAAATAAGAAACTATGTAATCCTATGATACTGACAATAACATTGGAGTTCATCTGTCAGTATAGAGTCGTCATTTTAGGAGAAGGTGTTGTAATCACAGTTATGATGATAACTGCATCACCCGGCCTGTACTCATCCCCAGTAGGGGTGTAAAAAAACAAGCTCACAATGGGATATTATATCAGTTCTTTGGGCAGTGTTACAGCATTTGCTGATATTGCAATGTCTACCACAATGCCATTTCAATTAAATTAAGGGACCTGCGATCAATATAAGGCGATATCATTGTCTTTTTCTTGGCTGCTTACCATAATCTGCCTGGTATTAGGCTGCTAGCACTCCCTTAATACTAAGAAGGATGTGTACTTGGACATAAATGGTGACACAAACACGCCATGGGAATTTTGAAATAAAGGTAAATCTCAAAAATGATATGTATCGACAATAATGGATCGTTGATGATTAAATTGATACATCAATCCAGATTAATGTATCGTTGCACATCTCATTCCCAGGTCATCAAAAATTGATGCTTGGTCACATCCCTCGGTGCCTGATAGCGATGCACAGGGCATCCTTTAGCGCAGTGGTTCCCAACTGGTCCAGCCACGAGTTCCAGATTTCTCCCTAGTCATTAGTTCAAGGTTCACACAGCTCAATATATTCAGCGTCACACTCGGGTTTGGTTTGCCATGTCATTGAGCTAATTTGCTGTCGCTGTCAAGTAGCTGTCTGTTAGTTACTTACTCTACAGCAGGAAACAGCAGTTCAAAATAAAAACTCTGTGCCAGAAATTCACTGTACTTAAAACTAAGTGTGTTTTTTTTACAAACTTGATATGTTTGTGAGTCACTTGCAGCCCATTCAGAATGGGACCACAACCCACTTCTAGACTGTGAGCCACCAGTCGGGAACCGCTGCTTTAGAGTGTGTATGTGACACACAGCTGAAACAAATTGTAACACGTGGTCAGTGTTGTGTAACTGCTGCGGTTAGGTTTAGGCAACAGAAGTACTTGGTTAGGTTCAGAGGAAAACAAATCATGTTTTAGGTCATGTGAGGGATGTCATTGTGCAACAGCCGTACATAAATATTGTAATTTGACTTTTGGTTTTACACGGGACACAAACTTCTGTTTCCTGGGTAAAGGTCCAGTATTGTTTGACCCACTGACCTCTCACCCTATGCAGACTTTCTCACTCTTTATACCACATCATTTGCTCTCAGTGTCAAATACGGCCACAGGCGGCTTTAAATTGGAGTTAGTTGAAAGCCCAATGAGTCCTATTAAGATGCTAGAGCAGTGGTTCCCAACTGGTCCAGCCACGGGGTCCAGATTTCTCCTTTTATTTTGAAGTGCTGTCTCCTGCTGTAGAGTGAGTGACTAATGGACAGCTACTTAACCGAGACAGCAAACAGGGGTCCAGATTTCTCCTTCGTCATTACCGTGTGTTCACACCAAACGCGATGGACGCGATGTCATCGCCCGTAACGCGAGTATTGCGTCGCTTGATCACAAATTTCACCTTTTTGATCATTGCTTCAATCGCGATGACGCAACCCTCCTCCCGCAATTTTCTTCACCTCCCGCTATTTTCTCGTCAACCATGGCTGAGTTAACTACCGTAGCTGCTCTTTATCTGTTGTGGACATCTGATTTGGATCGGAGACCCAAATGCCACCGTGTCTGGGTTCACAATATCCTCCAGAAACGCACACAGCTGGGTGAATATCATCACCTCCTGCAAGAGCTGCGTCTGGATGACGGTCGTTTCCAGCGGTACTTCAGGCTGACGCTGGCCCAGTTTGAGGACCTGTTGGCCCATATCAGTGCGAGGATCTCCCGCCTGGACACCAACTACAGGCGCTCCATCCCAGCTGCGGAGCGCCTGTCCATCTGTCTCTGGTTAGTTGCTTATAATTTCTTTATGAATGGTTGGATATCAACGCTGATTGGATGTCGCGGCACAGCGTCACGCAATGTCGCTTGAAAAGTTCAAATTTTTCAACTTCAAGCGACATGCGATGAGGCGATGGACGCGTCATTGCTTCATCGCGTCGCTCTTATCGCCTGAAACGCGTCGCCCGATGCGACATCGCGTGTCATTGCGTCATTTACATTGATTTTGAATGGAAACTTGTGGCGTTCATCGCGTCCATCGCATTTGGTGTGAACGCACAGTTAGTTTGCTGTCTCGGTTAAGTAGCTAGTCACTCACTCTACAGCAGGAGACAGCACTTCAAAATAAAAGCTTATGATGGAAATTCACTGTACTTAAATATAAAGTGTGTTTTTTACAAACTCACAGTCCATGCAGAATGGACCAGTGACCCACTTTTGGACCACGACCCACCAGTTGGTATCAACTGTGCCAGAGGGTACCTTTGGTGTCGATATCACACATTGAGGGGGGTGACGAAGCGTCTGTATTTGATGACCTGCAAATGACAACAGACTAGTCATCACTTTTAGCAGATATAATAAACAAATTTTAAAAATTAGCTAATTTTGCCCTGATTAGCAGAGAACCACCAAACTGCCAGGGTACGTTGGTTTTTCACTGTGTTAAAAAAAATCTTGGCAAGTTTGGAACAAAAAAAGAGGAAGAGTCTTACTATGAGAATAAAGTTGTAGTACAAGAAAAAAACGTGCTACATATATTCTGTACAAGAGTCTCACAGGTGACTTAGCCCAGACAGGTTAGTGCCCTGTGGGTTCAGATGCAGAGGGCTGCTTGCATGGCTGAGTCTTACTGGGAATCTCCTTTGGAAGTGAGACGTTATCGGTGTGTAAGCGTTCTGTCATCCAGTCCAGCCTGACTCCATCTTCCATACACGCTGTCTGTCAGCAGCAGCTCCTGAGAAGCTGAGTGAACAGAGCTAACCTGCCTCACTGAGCTGACTGACAGCAGAAACTGTTTTGGTTCACTCTCAGCTGATCTCATAAAGTTGTTTTCAGCCACAGCAGGCAGCTGTTTTGAGAGAAAATATGTGATTAACCCTCTGTACACTACCTGCTCAGCAGCAAACAGCAGACCGACAGAGTTAGAGTCTAGAGCACAGTGGGGCATTTAGCAGCTAAAGAGACATAATTTCCACTCATCAAGTGGACACAAACACTCCACATAATGCTAATGTTGCTCTTTAACAGCTGGATGTATAAATGAGTAACAACTATCTGTGAACAGGTTAACCATATGCCTGTTTCTGTCGCCCCCTGGTGGCTAAACTTGTCCAAACCACTGCATGTGTCATCTGTTCAGTCTGTTTTTGAGAGTACTCTGTATGTATGCAGCTGTTTAAGTATAAATCTTTGAAAACAAACTTTCCTTTCTCTCTGATGATGGTACCATAACTACAACACCTCTACTGTGAATATTACTATCTAGCACATGCATCGATGTAACCAAATAGGAATATATATTTGAATATGAATATATATTGTGCTGTGAACAGATGTGAACAGCATTAATATTTTTGTGTAAGCAAATGCAGGGCAACAAACAGGAGTGTGGGGAGTTATCGGTTCAACATTCAGACATTCGATGAATCATCTATTAAACCTTGAATGACTGCAAAGTTTCTCTTTAAGCTTTTAATTTTAAATTGCATCTGTAACAAAAGAATTTACCAATTTGGGATCATTAAGCACATCTATCTATCTGCTGGTGGCAGGAGCCGACGAGGAAGGGTGGGGACAGATCAGCAAATGTGTGTGTGTGTCCCTTTGTGATCATTCTGAATGCAGAGGTTTTTGCTGGACCATGACTGTGAAAAGTGTGAAACCCTGCAAGTGAAAACAGCAGCACCTCAGAGTGCACACATCACACTGTCAGACAAAGAGGAAGAACATCTTTTATTTACAGTTTCGTTACCTTTCACACAACCAGACAAGAACTAGACCTTCATTTGTAATACTGCAGTATCACGTTATACAGCTTACCTGCCATGCAAAGCAGGGTTTGCATATGCAAATCTTTTACTGCGTCCAAAAATGCCTCCAGCCCAGTCACTAATGTGCATAAGTGTTGTGTGTCGGTTGAAAACATCATCTTCTGAATGCTCTCACGCTCTCGTGTTCTTGTGTAATTCTATCACAGTATCTTTAAATAGTACCTGCTCCTGCCATTGTGACTCACCTATTTACCTGAGGTACTTACAGAGTTAAAGTGCAACCATAATGTTGATGTCAGGCGGTTTTTCCCATGGCTATTGTGGTGAAACTTCTCAGCCTTGAGAAACTGTAAAATGTATGCAAACAAAGGCTCTGAGATAAGTGAGCAAATACTGAGTGTCTTACTGGAAGCTGTTTGTCTTTGTTGGAGCCTCTCTCAACCAATCACAGATTTGTAGGGAGTGTCACCAGCTCACCTTTTCTCTGCGTAAAGGGCCGTGTGGGTAACCTGTGAGGGTGTGATGTGTACTCCAGGGTCTGCTTCATGTATGTGAAGGGAAGTAGCTCTCTTGGGGTGTCATGGTGAAGACGGCAGGCGGCAAAGAGTGATGATAGTCAGAAGAATTAAGTGTCTGGATAAACTCAGGGCTACTGTTAGACCTCATGAGAAGGCCAGGTTTGTTGTTTTGTCGTGAAGACTGCAGTAAGACCATTGTTGGACATCCTTCTTTCTGCAGAGTGGTCCAGACCGCTAGAAACTAGTTATTGGCGCTAAATAGCTAAGCTAAATTCATGTTAATAAACCAGCATGGAGCTGGTAAGCTGTCACTGAGAGGGAGGTAACAGCAGGATTAAAAATGGTCATGTTCGATAAGAATCTTCGTACATAGCTAGCTACCACGGCTTTTTTGAAACGTTACTCCCACAGATGTATAAAGAAAACTGGATACAGAGTTGGCGGCAGGGCTGTGCTCATTCCTATGAAAGTTGCTCAGTGGTGCATGAAGCAAAACAAAAACAAAAAACACAAAAACATTTGACTTCTCTGGTGTAAATTTACCTGGATCTACTGCATCATTGGGACCACATAACAATTGCCTTACAGACTTACCCAGCCAAGTGGCAAACTTTCACTCTTCTTCACTTTTGAAATCACACTGAATGGATCAAATTGTGATAGTGAAATGAATCATTTCTCATGGCTTATGACACTTAATTTTTTTTTCTTTGCATTTGTCTGTTTTACAATGTAAGTCTATGGAAAAAAGTATTTTTGGGCCAAATGGCATCACATGACAGACCCAGAAGTTGTAATTCCAGTTTGGCCACTATGAAAATTTGCTTCACTGCCGTGAACACTTCCTGGGGGATTGGGGTCTCATTTATAAAACAATGTGTAAGATCCTGTACATACGGTCAAAAGCCAAAAATGGCAAGCACCAAAACATATTCAACAGTTTCTACAATCAGGCTTCCACCTCACCATCTGCATCACCAGTTTCCTGACTCCAAAATATTCATAAGCATGGGTCAAAGTTTCTCCCAACAGGTCTTTATATAGATGATGACCTTTGCATGGGAGGTGGCATACGCCTCTTTCAGGCCTCATTTTATGTGTACACATTGTTATAAATGAGATGCCTGGTCACTGTGTTTGTCTTACATCATTGCCAAAGCAAACCTTTGGGAAAATGGTGAAAACTTTTTCTTTTTTTTGGCCTGTTATTGAGCAGCCAGTGTGTTGTCCAGCCACATTGATACTATTTTTGCCCAAAGCACAAGCAGTATTTAAATGCAACACTTTATACAGTCATGCCACAGTAGGGAAGAGGAGAACCACTTGGTCTCACAGTCTTTTAGTGTACATTTAGTTCTATGTGAGCATTAAAGACACCTCAAGCTGTAATTTGTTTACTTGACAGTATTATTGATAATGATGTGTATATTCTCTGATGGCAGACGTGGTATATGCTAACTGAGAAGCGCTAGATAATTTATCGGTGTTCTGTACGACATCTATTGCACGTCTGTCCGTCCTGGAAGAGGGATCCCTCCTCAGTTGCTCTTCCTGAGGTTTCTACTGTTTTTTTCCCCGTTAAAGGTTTTTTTCTGGGGAGTTTTTCCTTATCCGCTGTGAGGGTCCTAAGGACAGAGGGATGTCGTATGCTGTAAAGCCCTGTGAGGCAAATTGTGATTTGTGATATTGGGCTTTATAAATACAATTGATTGATTGATACATACAATCACTACCACGAATTGTCTTAGCACCTACTGAGAACTGTCAAGTGCCCTGATCACGTGTTGACCACTTGTTTATATATATAAACGATATGGAAGGATCATGATTGCATCACTTTTTACCAGCATTTCAAAGTGAGTCAAAGCTATATTACTGTCAGTTAAAAATAAAATGGAAAATATATATATGTCAATAACCTGTGTCTCAGTAAGTTAACAACTAGCTAACTCTCTCATTACTGAAATTGGCCCCTCGCTAATTCCCGCCCCTAGATGCAGACTGGCCAATCATAGCGTAGCGTACCGGGGTCCAACAACAACACAGCTGTGCTCCATTGACTCTAAGGCAATCGTTTCAGATTTCCTTCATTTTCAGGCTGGTTTTGTGGATTTGGAGCTAAATGTTATGCCTGGGGTACATCGTGTATTTATGATACTCGTTACGAGGTTGGAAAAAGATATACGTTTCTTCCCTGTTCCAAAACCAAAATCAAACCCTGAAAAGTGTAGGGTTAGCTAGCTAGCTACTGAAGATATAGCCTACTGAATGTATGCACATGCTGCTTTTGCTGTTTAATGATTATAACAGTGAAAACAAGACTGACCCTGCTGTACAGGAACCAGTGAAGGGAAGCAGGGAAACTTTACTGATATTCAACCAATTAAGCCAGCCAAACGGAACACAACACACACTGCTCATATTCTCAAAAGGAAACCTATAACATTCCCATTTTTTCTGGTGATTTGGTTCTCTAACAGCAGGGAGTGTGTTACTTTGTTACTGTGCACTTTGGAGCAATGGGCGTTTGTTTTTGGTGTAACAGGCTTTTGGTCCAGTGGGCTTTGGAATTTTGGGCCGTTGGAACAGTGGGCAGTCCCTGAAATACACACCAGTCAACAGGGACACTGCCCAGTGATCATGGAATGTAGCCACATGATAATTAATGAGCAGAACAAAACCCTACTCTGCTGCATAACCAATATTTTTATATTTACAATACATTTATTTACTGAATGATGATGTTCAATGTCTCTACGAAGTGTTTTCATGTCATTTGGCTCATCGTTTTAGTGTCACAGCCCATAACTTTACCGTTATCAACCTTGTTTCCATCTAACCCCCCCCCCCCCCCCCCCCACCCACCCCCCCCCCCCCCCCCCCCCAGAAATCCACCCTCCTATCAACACACCCAAAGGTTAATTACATGGAATATTTGTTTAGTGTGTGCAGTACTTTTTGACAGTTTAACTGCTCATGATAAAGTTTGCAGAACAGGAGTTTCCATGTAGAGGGGCTGGGTTTGGCTGAGAGAAGAGAAGAGGGTATTTCCTTTGCTTCAGTGCTTTTTGCCTGTATTTATGGTCTGCCTTTGTCTCAACTTTGTTTCACAAGCCCACATTTAACACACCCAACCCCCTGGCAGGTGTATTTTCATAATACAGTAAAATCTGATTTAAGCTGTGCCAATCTTACCAAAGCTCTAACGGTAAATACAGTAAGCCATCATGCGCCATATTGTCTGGCTATTTTATTTGCCCAACAGCAGATGGCAGTTTATCAAAGTATCAATGTTTTCATAAACCGCATGGGTGGAAACTAATGTCAACAGACTAAAAGCTGGAGCTGGTTTTCACATACAGACTGAAGAACACCTGGAAAAATATGTAGGCTATTTGTACAAGTACTGGAGTACACCTATGATGCACACATGCAGACACACACAGTTAAATTGTGGCTTGTTTCGTTGGTTATGTTACCACTGTGTAAGAAAGATAAGATAAGATAAGATAAGATAGTACTTTATTGATCCAAAACTTGTGTGTTACAGCAGCAAGTAATCAACCAGTATGTGGACATTAGAATATAGAAATATATACAAAAATGAGTAGTACTAAAATTTACAATATACAAGAAATATACAGGAATAAAATAAAATAGAAAATATCAAATTGCAGGAGTAAAAAGATCAAACTACATACACAACACTACAGTCAGAAGTGGTGGCAAGTTTATATACATTAACTAAAACCATGCTGCCTTTTCCTTTATTAAATTAAAAGTTAGCCAGCTACAGAAAGAGAAAACAATAATTTCATTTATTGTGCTGCTCAGAGGCTACCAGTGTGTCATTCAAGGAACAACTTTGTTAAGTGACCTCTAGCTCACCTGGTAGAGTGTGCGCCCCTGTAGGCTGAGTCCTCTGCAGCGGCACAGGCTCTAATCCAGCCCATGGCCCTTTGGTGCAATGCAAAATTCGAAATCTGCCACTGACGCCATGTCCTTTCCTTCTTTTATAGTTTCCTTGCCTAAAAGACGGAGCACTCCTGGTTCCCCTCATCTTGAGAAAAGGCGATTGCTAACAAGTGGCTAAATTTGACAACAGAGCGTCATCAGGCCAAACGTGGCTTTGCAGCCTCGTTGTGGTGGCGACATTGAAGACATGCGACCGTGGTGTAGTTTGTTTATAGCCTAATGTTAGCTTTTTACTTATGGCGATTGCATTTACGCTTAAAATATAACAGTGGTGTTCATCTGTGAAGATTGTCCTGCTGAACAAAACGTATAAATATCATAAACTTTTGTTTGCCTCACAGCTATTCTCTGCAATAATCTAAAATGCAGTGGGAAAATCCCATCAGCTTTTTAACGAGGGAACCAAGGTGTCCGTGCCGTACAAATCAATGCCTCCCTGCAGCACTCTGATTATTTTGGACAGCAGCGTGTGGCTATCATTCTGCACATTCATCTGTTAAGTCTGGTTTATCAGCGAGATAAGAGTTTATCTGGGTGACGGTTATCACAATGTTATTGTGTGTGTGTAAATACACTGTTTTTAAATTATTCTTGACCTTGCATCATAGAAAATGATGTTCATGCTTTGTTCTCTGCAGTTAAACAAGAAGCACACTTGATGCCAGTACAGAAAGCACAGTTCAGGACTTAGAATCTATATGAATGGTCAGTCCATCCATCATGCTTTATAGTTTAAAATATCAAATTCATGTTCACAACAGCATTTGAAGAACCATCTTCTGCAGACACCATCAAGCATTCTTTACTTTATAGAGCAGCATGTATTTGGGTCAGCTGCAAATGTTCTCCATCACTGAAAGAAAACCATATACTTCCTGTCACACTTAAAACTCGGAGTGAATGGGTAGATAACAGATGCTGTACTGTCTTCATCCAGGCATTCAAGCGATCTGGTCAACCACAGGCTGACTTACATGACTCAAAGCACACCAGAGACATCACAAGAGACATCATCGACCCACGACAACATACTTTCAGTTCCATAGAGACCGACCACAGAGAACGGTTTTCTGTCACTTTCTCACACATCACGCAGACCATATGTTTTGACCTTTAACGCCTATGGTTCCATCTGTGGAAAACTCTAAGTGGAGCTTTAAGACTGCTGTGAGAACAATAACTACACAAATATGAACGTTATATAGAGCTGCCTGCTTTGCACAATTTTTTCGTATTCATTTTGTATTTTTTAACACATCGTGTGCAGATAAATGTTGTACATGAAATCGTTCTTCTTTCTGAGACCTGCTTGTCTTGTTATTAACTGCAGACTGGGTGCCATGTTCAGGAAGTCAAACAGGATGTTTTTACTTGCTCTATCTCTAAAAACAATATATGCAAAGACCATGGTAATAATTATCTGTCATGCAAATCAAAAGGCACTCCCCAAGAAGCACTCCATCTCCGGTTATGGTTACATAGATGTATAGAGCTGCAAAGTGTGATGTTCATTCTTCCTGTTATCTACAAACATTTTCACATAACCAGATATTTTATCAACTGACACAACTGTCAATGAGAAGTTTGACTGAGTAAATCTTCTTTAAAACCAAAGTTAATGCATGCTGGGAGGTAATGAGCAGACAATGCTTTCTGCATCAATATCATTAGTGTGTGTGTGTGTGTGTGTTTGTGTGTGTGTGCGCGCGCGCGCATGTATACATAGGAGTAGATTTTGGAGGGACAGTATTATTAACATGTCTGTTCCCTCCCTCCCCCCTTAATAAAAGCATTAAAATAGCAAAGGAGACATTTTGATTGATTTCATCGGTACATAAAAATTCACCAGAATACAGAAAATTAAGTGTTTGATGCTCAAAATTTTTCTGGCTGAAGACCCATCCTTCTCAATGTGCCCCCCCACCCCACCCCCCTCCAATCTACACCCTTGTGTGTGAGTGCGTATGCGCTGCAGTGGCTGTTTTGACTCGTTGTAGTTGCTGCAAGTTTAAACGCGTCCCGTTTTTATGAATATTTTACTTATTAAATATTTTTGCAAGGTCCTGGGTCAGGTACAGACTTGTCTGTGACATGACAGCACTCATTTTGTGCAGGAGTTTGGATTAAGCTCCAGATGTGAGACATTTATCATGAACGGTTAAATCCCAAGTGGACGGCGGTCATTAAACTCTGCGATGGAAGTACGGGTGGTAATTACTGTCATCTTTATAGGTAAGTTGTCTAACTATATAAGTGATACACTTGCACATTATGCTTTGCCTGACTGAAGTTATCCTTCAAGACTTTTCTGATTTCTACTCATAAGAGCTTGCGTTTTTACGCACGAACACAATGTTCTAAAGATACAAATCGAGACATTGATACAGGCTTAAAAAAACCCCAATATTAACAGCAATGGTGGGGAAAAAACTACATTTGACACAGATTTTATTCTAGACTAAATCTGTGGGTGAATGTTCAGAGTCTGAGAGCATTATGACAAAACTGCCTCACCAGTTTCCAGTGCGTAAATCGCAACATGGGGACTTTGTTGAGAGAGCCTGTAACTACATGGAAGAAGTAAAAGTAAATATTAAGTTAAGTTAAGTTTATTACTATGGCACCTCTAAAAGCAATCAATGTGCTTTATGCTATACACAGAAAGGCATAAAGACATAAAAGAAACAAGAAATACAAGAAGTAGTAGGTACATAGGCCTATTGATTGGATTTTAAAAACCAACTCAATAAAATATAAGATACAATTAAGCTTAAATGGAATAAAATGGTAAAAACAGAAGAATAAAACTTTGATAGTGTGGTGAGAAATATGAATAAATAGCTTGAAATTAAATATAACAATCAGCAGTGGCAAACCAAAACGTTTTGGGCAGAATTTTGAAGAGCCTAGTTTTGAAAGTTTGAAAGTCTGGCACGAGTTTGTGCCAGCAACATGGTGCCTAAAGCTAACAAAAAAACTAAGAGCTGCTTTTTGTTTCATGTTTAGTTTTGACGCCAGAGACAGAAAGCCGACCTGTCTCAGACCATCTGAGAGGTCTGGATGGTTTATACAACCCATTTGGTAGAAAGAATGTTGGCATTGTACATTTATGCAAACCACAGAGACATTGAAGTTGCATGTTATTATGTTATTAGTAGATATGTTGAAACTTTAAGAATGCTATGGTTAGGTTTAGGCACAAAAAACAAATGGTTATGGTTGCGAAAAGATGATGTTTTGCCTTAAAATACCCGCTTTTGTTGGCACAATCCCAGATAGAAACACAGTGACAGATCTCTTAAAAACATCCACATTCAGTGCCTAAAAAGCCACTGGAAACACAGCAATGACTCACTGAAAACAACCCGTTTTGTTGTTTGTTGGCCTCAAACAATGGTCTGCAGCTTGGCATGTTGCCTATACCATCCACCATCCCCTCCACCTCCTAATGACAAAGTCAGCTCATATACAGTACTAATTTACTTTACAAATGTTGATATGATATGTATGATGTACAAATATAATGTATTCTTTGTTTGCAGAAACATACAATGCCAATGTTTTATTCTGGCTTCAAAAACATTAAGTTTCACTTTTTTTTTTAACAGAAAAACCACCTCATTCAGTGGTATCATTATATGTATCATCTGCATTATTATAGTAAAATGTTTTATTGTTTCCTGTAATCTGAACTAGCTGGAGCATGTTGTTGTTGAACAGAGGGGGCCCAAGAATGGAGCCTTGGGGAACTCCACATTTCATTTGACATTACTCAGATCAACACAAAGTTGAAGCTGTTCTTTAAACAGGATTTATACCAGTTTAGCACTGTGCCTGAAAGTCCCACTCAGTTTTCTTGTTGGTCTTGTATGGAACTGAAACAATAGGTCAATTCATGGATTACAATAGTTATTCTTATTATTCTATTCTATAATCAATTCATTTTTAACAACCTTTATCAAGGAAAAATGCCAGACATTCTCTACTTTCAACTTTTCTGTGTTTAGCATTTTAAACAGAATTAATTAATTTTGCTAGTTTTAAAAAAAAGAAAGCAAAATCACTGTTCGAATTGTGGATAGAAGTTTGGTAAAAACGGACACAAGAGGGTCAGTCAGCATAAGCAAATAAGGCATGTGTATTATTGTTGTTTTTTGTAATTATGTCCGAGATGAAGGACTGCGATGGGCTTTTAAATAATAAATTTTAAACTTATAGCTGTCACAGTGAACCAGGAGACTTGTTTTTCACCACCTGCATTCATCTTTTTGATGTTTCACCAGTGTGGTGTTTGTCCTTGGTGTTTTCTTTTCAGTGGAGACTATTTTTACCTTTGTGTGAGCAGTGGCGTCAATAATATTTATAATTTTCAACAGAAATGATCTATATCATCATTGACTTGGGTCAGAGAGAGGGCAGGTATGAAGAAAAAGTTAGAAAAATAATTCACATTTGTTTGCAGTTATATACTGATTAGCTCTATTTGAACCACTGTGTGCACAGTGACTGCGTTTACATGCACACTAATATTCTGAAAACGACAATATTCTGAATTTGATGCTGATTATGTAAACAGCATATTCCGTTTGAATTTTATGAATTAGGCCATGGGGTTGCTGGGCTCAGCCTCAGAGATAGGGTAAGGAGCTCAGACATCTGGAGGGAGCTCAGAGTAGAGCCGCTGCTCCTTTGCATCAAAAGGGGTCAGTTGAGGTGGTTCGGGCATCTGATCAGGATGCCTCCTGGGCGCCTCCTGTTAGGCAAATTGGCCCTGGATAAGTGGATGAAAATGGACGGAAGCCAAATTAAAGGAACTGGCCACTTTAGAATGAAAATACGGACAGTACTGGCAACTAGCACGAGAATCGAGAACTAGCACCACTACTAGCCATCAGCTAGTCTCGTGCGAGTTGCCATGTAAACACAACACGCCTGCAGGGCAGACTAACTGACCACAGTGAGAAACGATGCTATAAAAGTGGAGTAAATTACGTCTTTTCAAGTCAATTTTGCATCCCGCGGCTTCAGGGCACTTGGATTACAACGGACGAGCCGTTCTGACGTTTTTTAAATGCATCAGCAGAGTTTTATTACATTTTCAAAATGGGGGTTCCATGCACTTCAAGTGTAGCTGTTATTCCAGCTAGCTGTTATCCTCCGATACCCCGAACGAGTTTTGTGGATTAAAAAACTACACTGGACTTCTTGTCGGCATGAGGGTCAATAAGTACTGTCTGTATTTTCATTCTAAAGTGGCCATTTCCTTTAGGCATTTTCCAATTAAGACATCTTGGATACCAGTATTAGTCAGGTTTTAGGAGCATTAGTTGAGCATGTATACAGCACATTTGGATAATGGGTCTTAACTGGGGTTTTTACGGCAGTTTGGGACACACGAACTCTTGCCTGTTTTCTCAGGTCTGTGCGTAGTCTCGCGTGACCAGCCTCCCGTACTTCGGAATGGGACGTTCGTCTTTCGTTTTGTAATAGAAATGGGCGGGGAAATCCAGACCGCGTGGCGACATTGCCATAGGTGCGGCACGTGTGTTACATGTAACAGAGACGTTGCAGCTCTGCAATATACAGTAGCTGCATCAAATGAAATCATATCCATTTTAATCTCTTCTTGCGATGCACTGAACACTTCCTTTTCTGTTGTACTACGGACAACAATTCGGGGAACAGCAATTCCGGTGTAGGCGGGTGTAAGGCAAAGGTAATCAGCTGTTGGTCGAGGAAGTACGGAAGTACACAGATTTGGATCCAATCACATAACTGCTGCTGGGAGCCAGGGCTAGTTCTAGTACAACTTTCCTATGGGAATGTCCAGATGACAGAGTCAGCCAGCGTGCTGACATCATCAGCGTCTGTGTAAGAGACTAGTCTGTGCGTTGTCATTGATACAGTGTACACAAACCAACTCACCAACAGTTTGCAAGGCTGTGGAGTAGAGATACATGCCCTAAAGAAAATTTCTGGCCACAAGGAGAAACACACCTACTCTTAACCATCTTGAAAGACTTGAATATCAACAGGTTTTTCAAAATGTGCAAACATCACATGAAGGCACAAAAGAGAGAGCATGCTCACACGGTCCAACAAGTCAAACCAGGAGGACACTTTGGAAAAACGACATGTTAGAGCAAGTGTGTCTGTTCCACGTTTTTCTCCTCACTGACTTGGTCAATCCATGTGAAATTTGGCACAGTGGTAGAGGGTCATGGGAGGATGCGAATGAAGCAATATTACATCAATCTCATGCCCCATATGTGGTAGGGACATGAAACTTTGCACAGAGATGCCTCTCCTCCTGAGGAACAAATTTGCCTCAAGAGCCCATAACTTCTAGCCTGAGTGTCAGACTGAAGCTCCCAGAATCTTTAGTCTGACATCGCCACCACTGAAGGCGATTTACAAGGGGGAGGGAATTTGATTTTTCCCGAACCAATCAGTAGAGATCAACGACTCACCCAGAATCTGACGTCATTAGTATCCATGCCTCGGGGGTGCCGAAAACAAGCGAGCATTGCCCATTTAAAATGTCTCCGTCGTTGTGCATGCCCAGCTGCATCACTGTTAAATCCAGTTTAGCAGCTTCCTTAATTTGGTCCTCCATTAAAGCGAGTAGTGGCGAAATACCTCGATAGCATCGTTAATGTGGTCTGTAGGATCTGTAGCGGTCGCCATTCGCATGGCGCTGATTGGCTAATCGCTAGACCCGCCCCCACCCCTGGCGTTCATTGGGCCTTCCATCGTTTGGACGAGATAAATCGCAAATTCATTGCAGTATGCCAGACAAGAGATGCAAGCCTACTCAGTTGAGTGGGCGAGGTCTATGGTCTGGAACCAGGCTACATAACTTCTGGTTATATAGATTTTCCTCCATTTTGATTTTTTTGAAAAACACTTAAAATCGATCTCTTCCTAGGAAGTTTGACCGATCTGCATGAAACTGGGTGAACATAATCTAGGGACCAATATCTAAAGTTCCCTCTTGGCAAAAGTTGGAAAACTTACTAAAACTGAGCTTCTATAAAGCAATGAATATTGTGGAGGGCGTGGCTCATCACATAAAGGTGTATAACATCTCAAGGGTTTCACCGATTACCACGCAACTTTGTAGGCATATGACCACACATATTCTGAACGGACCCCTCCATTATTGACCCCATCAAAAAAAATGGGAGCGCTAGAGAGCTAATTTCTTATCTAGGCCTAACAGCCAAATGGATTTTTACTAAACTTAGAAGATACGTAGAACAGGACGCCTCAAGATGACTGGAGAAATTTAACTCTAATTGGCAACTGGGTGGCGCTATAACAACAGAAAAATGGCTAAAATGCAATCGATCGCTGTGGCTGCAATCGTACTATCAAATTCACAAAAACTCTGTCTGAATACATTCTTCATTCTTCTTAATGGGTTCAGTTGACTATTTAATCTGCAATTTCCTATGACCTACATCCCAAACACACACCATGTGAAACTGTACGTGGGCAACTGTGCACTCAATGGGTATGGACTAGTCCTAAATATTTAAAGTAAGAATAGAACGCCAGACAGGAGAATAATCACATATTAAAACTTGTCACTTTGAAAATATTAATAAAAACAAGTGGAAGAGATCCGCTGGATAGCTAGCTACCCTCACAGCCCCCACTTATTTTCATATGTATGTCACTGTTTGTCCTATTTTTGCAGACATCCAAAAACTAGACTCAACATTAAGTGATTTCTTCTTTAGTCAGTCTCCTTCCTCTTCCTCTTCCTCATTCATGCTTCCTTTGATAGATTATTCACCTCCCCCAGCTCACAGGTGCATCTCATTCATCACATCACTTTGTCCACAGTCTCTCCCTGAGGGGTTTTCCATAGTTTTTCTTTCCCGCTTTCCAATAACTCATCACATGCTGAGTCAATCCGTAGTTACCCAAAATACTTCAGTGCTGCTGTCCTAGGGGTATGTCAAAATGAATGTGGAAGTTACCAATGTCACAGTTTTTTATTTCGGAATGTAGCTCAACAGGAAGACTGAACCAAAAAGCAATATATTCAATCGATGGTAATTGCCATAGGAAAGACGGAAGGAAGGAAATGGCAACTCTGTCACCTTTTTTATGCACCCTGGCTTCAATTAGAAAAACTGAGCTGGGAAAGAAAAGTTTCCAGATGACACTCACTCCGTGAGAAAAAAAAAGAAGAAAAGAAATGAAAAACTTTAATACTAGGCAATACAGCATTGGAACAGTGTGTGACAGAAATATGTAGAAATGAACAGATCTTCAGTATAAATGAAAAATGGATTTTCCGCAGCTGTCATTTAATTGCAGCGAGCTGATAAAACAGCGCAGGGTCTTTCCATCCAACTGTTTACAGTGTTATTACTGGATGATAGAGAGGAGGAACTAACACCAATGTTAGAGAGGTGCCGACCCCAATAAATCGCTGCGTGTGAACAAAAATAGTCACTCAGTCGTAGCCAGGATGAAAACATTTTTTTGATGATTTACGAACATGTCACCATGACAGTCTGACAGTTTATACTGAGCTATAAAACAGCTCAATAGACATTAAATGGGGAACAGGACACAGGTGTGCTCTCTCCCATGCAGAAGAGTGTCCTCCATTAACTTACGTGGAGGAGCAAATAGCCACCTGATTTATATGCCTCTTAAAAGTCATGCTGGGTTCAGTCAATGTGAACCCACAGCGGTATCTGATGATTACAGGACTGCAACAGGAACAGTGCTCAAAAATACATAACTGCGACTAAAAGAATAAAAAATCTGACTAGTTCACTCATTCATTCTCCGTAACTGCTTATCCTGTTAGGGGAGTTGGAGCCTATCCCAGCTAACATTGGGTGAGAGGTGGGGTACACCCTGGACAGGTCACCAGACTGTCACAGGGCTGACACATTAACATGCTCACATTAACACCTACGACCAATTTAGACCAACCAATTAATCTGGCCTGCATGTCTTTGGGTGGTGGGAGGAAGCCGGTTTGAACCAGGAACCATCTTGCTGTGAGGCCACAGTGCTGCTAACCACTGCTAACCACTGCACTTCCGTGCCGCCCAGTTCACAGTTGAACGTGCAGGAACACATTGCATGATGGTAGAAAAACAACACTGACATAGAGCAGACACGGAGCGACCATTCATTTGTTGTTGTGTTTTTGGCCACCTGGCTCATTTGCTACAATTTTTTATCTCGTCAAGAAATGTTTAACTTGTTTGCTGTTTTTAAATGTATCCAAAGTGCATTAATTGTAAATGTTTATTTTGTAAAAACCAGTATCAGAAGGAGATGGTTACCTAATGATCTCTGTGGAAATGACAACTTATTACTATCATATTTATCATAAAAATGTGGCACACAGCAAGGACAGTAAGTCACTGTCAAGGATTTCATACACATGGCTACAGTGTTTTCTAAGGCTGTAGTAGATATGGTGAGCTTGCTCTGTCAGTGGATTCACTTTGTACATCTCTATTGACTGCATCTCTCCACGTTTTTTTACAGCGATTAACCCATCTCTTACTGAGGACGTGAAGGGGTACCTGGCAGGCACTGAAGGGGGATCCATTACTTTACCTGACCCTGTGATGGTGCAGGGGTTTGTTTCATTTGGAAGAATAATCTTAGATATGGTGGAAAATAAGAATATTGAAGTATATGAGGAACTTTACAAAGACAGACTTCTTTGGGACAGCGACACTGGACTCTTTACAATCACTGGCCTGCAGAGGAACGACTCAGGGATTTATAATATTGACTCTAAAAAAGGAAACGTTTTCACTGCATCATATAAACTCACAGTGTATGGTAAGTTACATTTCCTTTGCCAGTAAACCAACCAGTGTGTTGGTGGCAACATTTCAGCATCCTAGGCCCATTTGTGACCTCAGCAGTTACTCCATGATCTAGGCCCAATCCTAATACACTGTTTCATTTCCAAATCAGCTGATAGATCACATGATTCCTTTCTATGCAACCCACTGGCAAATCTCATTCAGAGCGCCCTATTTAAACTGCTCTGACCTGCCTACTCTTGCTGCTTCTTCTGCAAGCTGCTTTGCAACCCACCTCCACCCCAGCTCCTCCTTTTCATGCTGTGTCTGACTTATCAATGTCATTTCTGTTTGTCATTGATGCTGCTCTGTTCTGTTCCCGGGGGTCTGCTGCTCTCCCTGCCTTAGGCCTTGGAAGGGCAGGGATGTGCGCTCTTTCTGCCTGTCTCTCTGTCCTCTCCCTCTTTGATGGCATATGACGTCTGAAATTTTAAAAATTCCAGCAGCGAAGTTGCTGCAGTTGTTACCGCTCCTCTAGTATCAGTGCAGACCAGCAGGGTAGAAGCAGTTGCTAATGATGACCTACACGGCACTCTACAAGTATCATTTATGAACAGAAAGTATAAAAGCGTAGTTTAGGACTTCTAAAATCAGTCATGTTGTCTAATTTTTAATCTCTGTAACTTTATTCTCTAGAGCCTGTACCAACTCCTGCTGTGAGCACACTGAGTGTGAGCGCTGATGGCTGCACCTTGCTGTGTTTTGTGAAGAAAGCTGAGGAGGCGACACTGTCGTGGTACAAAGACGAAGAAATACTGAACCAGACCGGCTCCGTTCTCTCTTTACCTCTGACTGTGCACAGCCAGGATTTCAGCTTCTCTTACAGATGTGTAGCAGCCAATCCTGCTGAAAACAAGACTCGTCCAGTTGACGTTATAACACTCTGCAGTGACCAAAACAACACAGACAGCAGGGGCAACATGAACACAAGACATTGTAAGACTAATGCTAACACTAATTTAAACAAAATATAAAATATCATAATTTAAAAGCTCGTAACATTTTAACATTCATGATGTTAAGTGTGTTTATTGATTTTGGGTGTTTTGTTTGACAGATGTGATTGGAATTGGAATTCCCATTGTGTTTGCTGTAATTATGTTTGTCATCACGTGGAAGTGTCTCGACAAAAACAAGAGGACAATCAGACAAACACAAGGCAGGTATTTGTTTTTTGTTTGTTCGGGGGTTTTTTTTTATCTCACTGCTTGTTTCTTTTCCACATTATACTGTGGTTATGAATGTAAATTGAGCTGAGAGATAAATTGTGTTCGCATGACATCACTGGGTTGAACAAAGGCCATTGAAAAACTGAAAGGGATAGTTTGGATTTTTTGTAATGGGGAGTGTTTCACCCCACCCTTGGTGGCCCTATGGGATGAACAAAACTCCACCACTGACCAAAGAATAACCACATAAGACATCTTTAAAACACTCAAATCCATTTGATTTATTAACAAATAAAACAAGCACACAAACAAGACAACAAAAATCTCAGGCCACGAGGCCCAGGCCCATCTGGTCTTCCTCTGCAAAAGTTTTTCTCTATTATCCTCTCTAGGTATCCTCTGGTCTCCACAGTAAACGACATTTCATCGTTACTGTCATAATCACTTGTTTTTTTATCGTCTTGTATTTATTGTCTCCTCCACAAACCACTTAAAGTCTGACACAAACAGCTGATCTGCGGTGTGATACAGTGAGTGGCAGAGCTGCACTTCTGCATAGGAATATGGATGTTTTATGGTAAAGCGGTGAAAATATCCTCAATATAACCTCAGTCAGACTGATATTTATTTTTTGGGGTAGGACTTTTATTTAGGTGGCTAAAATACATTCTATTGCTCTTCTGTGCCGGCACTCCTGCCTTCTTCTTCAAATTGGCATTTTGCCGACACCATCTACTGAAGGTAGAACTATGACTATGGAAAAGTACCTTACACAACCCTGCTTCAAAAAACACTGAACTATCTCTGTAAGTTCCCTGAGCTTGGGTTTTCAGGTGCTTTCCATGTACAAAGAGCAACTGATCAGATGTCAAATTACCTATAATACCTAATATATTTACCTTTGGCTTTTTTCTTGTGAAGTGCTGGATAATTTTACCTCTGGACCTCTTCATTCAAGCAAAACAGGAAGAATCACTTTCTGTTTGATCAGGGCCTGTCTCTAGCATTAGATCAGGACTCAAAACACACCCCAAATACACATTGAACATGGCTTCAAAGAGACAATTTCAAACCCAAGTACACAAATCTGCTTCACTATAACTCGCAGCATTCACAGACAAAGCACTTTATCTGGACACGTTTTCCCCACAAATACAACATGTCAATCTCTTCTTCTTCTCACATAAATTCAGGGACAACACAATATTTAACAAAGGTAACAGTACATAATTCGGCTCCATTACAACTCACAAGATTCACCGACAAAACAACTGTGTCATACTAAACATGTTCTCCAGACAATTACAACATGCTAACGTTATTAAGGCCAGCCTATGGCATTTTACATTGTATAAATTAGCCTACCAACAAGCGGAGATTTCCTCTGCTCATATGAAGCCAGGATAAATCCCGAAGTATAAATCCCTGAAGGATAAATCACACACAGGAGTTAAAATGCTATTTTAGTGGAGGCTTCACAATTTATTGTTTCTTATCTGTGAAATAAATGGAAATAAAAGACATGGAGACAATGCAGGATTTAAAATAGACCTCCAGCTTTACAGATTCTCATGAGGAAGGAAGTGTACTCAGCACATTTGTTAGACCTCAGGTATACACAGAGTACATTTTTGGTGAGTACTGACTGTAAACATAACTTTTCTTTGTTTACAAACAGCCTCCACAAGACACTTTTGAGTGACCTCTCCTATATTTTAGTGCAAGTTTCAAAAATATTATTAAATAACTTTTTAATCTTAAATTTGTGAGTAGAATTAAAGATAAAGGGTTTAAAAAGTCACCTCTAGCAGTTTGATAAATGCAGACCCTGGTTATGTTAGTAAACAGAATGCAAACAGCAGTCACCGCTGTCAGGGTTTGACGCACAAGCCGTATTTCAGGTAAATGTAAGTATAGCAGGTTATATCAGACATTGAACAAACAACCAATATGTCACTTTCATTCTGAAGAGAGTTTCAAAGTAAACAAAGCAGCTGCAGCGTGAGAAAATGACTAAGAGCCAGAGACTGGTTGCACAAAACACCTTAAGTTAAGAAAGTCCACGTTAAGAATTTCTTAGAATAAAATCAGTTGCACAAAGCACGTGTTTTCCTTCAGGTTTCCTTAAAATGTTCACATAAGTACTTAAGGTTTTCTTCGTATCTTAGTCTCATACTTAAGGAACCCCTTAAAGTTAGTTACACCATTGAACAAAAGACTTTAGGTATCACAAGCAAACAAATGGTTGTCATGGAAACTGTAGTATTTTAACACTGTAAAATCTCTTTAAATGCAGTAAATAACTTTACATTTTTACTTAACTAAAGGCACCTTCTAAGGGATTCAGTGCAACACCCTTAAGTAAGTCCCTCAGCTTAGGGAAAATTAAGTCTTAGAAATTTAAGGTGCTTTTTGCAACTGGCTCCAGAATCATACAGGAAGTCAGACAAATATTTACTACATGGAAAATACTGCAGATCAAGTGAAAAATATATTCATTTTGTAATTATTTTAATCCACAAACTTTGATTAAGTAACCAATAATTGTAGTTTAGTTAATGTACTGGTCTTTTATAAGGTTATGCTCTGTTGTTGTCAGAGCATTTATTCTTTAATTTGCACTCTTAGTAAATGTCCTGTTAGGATTAGGTCCAAACCAAACTTCCCATTCCTTGAAAGAGAGAATTTAAGTCAAACATCCTCACATCATAAAACCTCAAATACTTACATACAGTGCCCTCCAAAAGTATTGGAACAGTGAGGCCAATTCCTTTATTTTTGTTGTAGACTGAAAATATTTGGGTTTGACATCAAAAGATGAATATGGGACAAGAGATCAACATTTCAGCTTTTATTTCCAGGTATTTACATCTGGATCTGATACACAACTTAGAAGATAGCACCTTTTGTTTGAACCCACCCATTTTTCATCAGAGCAAAAGTATTGGAACATGTGACTGACAGGTGTGTTTTGTTGCCAAGGTGTCTCCCAATTACACTGATTATTCAAACAATAAATAGCACTGAATGTCTGAGCTCAGTTTCAGATTGCGTACAATAGGTTTTGCCTGTGCAGACTGCATTTAGAGGTGGAACCAACATGAAAACCAGAGAGCTGTCTATGGGTGAAAAAGAAGCAATTGTGAATCTGAGAGAAGATGGACAATCAATCAGAGCCATTGCACAAACATTGGCCATAGCCAGTACAACCATTTGGAATGTCCTGAAGAAGAAAAAAAACACTGGTGTACTAAGCAACAGACGTCGAACAGGTAGACCAAGGAAAACATCAGCAGTTGATGACAGAAACATTGTGAGAGCTGTAAAGAAAGACCCTAAAACAACTGTTAGTGACATCAGCAACAACCTCCAGAGGGCAGGAGTGAAGGTATCACAATCTACTGTTCGCAGAAGACTTCATGAACAAAAGTACAGAGGCTACACCAGAAGATGCAAACCACTCATTAGCAAGAAGAATAGGAAGGCCAGGCTGGAATTTGCCAAAAGGTACAGAGATGAGCCTCAAAAATTCTGGGAAAAAGTTTTATGGACTGATGAGACAAAGATTAACTTTTTCCAAAGTGATGGAAAGGCGAAAGTTTGGAGAAAGAAAGGATCTGCTCATGATCCCAAACATTCAAGCTCATCTGTGAAACACGGTGGAGGTAATGTCATGGCTTGGGCTTGCATGGCTTCTTCTGGGACGGGCTCTTTCATCTTCATTGATGATGTAACACATGATGGCAGCAGCAAAATGAACTCAGAAGTCTACAGAAACATTTTGTCTGCTAATTTAAAGAAAGATGCAGCCAAACTGATTGGGAGATCCTTCATCATGCAGCAAGATAACAACCCAAAACACACTGCCAAAACAACAAAGGAGTTCATCAGGGGCAAGAAGTGGAAGGTTTTAGACTGGCCAAGTCAGTCTCCAGACTTAAACCCAATAGAGCATGCATTTTACCTGCTGAAGAGGAGACTGAAGGGAGTAACCCCCCAAAACAAACAACAACTGAAAGAGGCTGCGGTGAAAGCCTGGGAAAGCATCACAAAAGAAGAATGCAAAAGTTTGGTGATGTCAATGGGTCACAGGCTTGATGCAGTTATTGAAAGCAAAGGATTTGCAACTAAATATTAAGTCTCATTCACTTTAATCTATTTTAAGTTTATATGTTCCAATACTTTTGCTCACCTAAAAATTTTGTGTTCCATTACAAATAATGCTATCTTCTAAGTTGTGTATCAGATCCAGATGTAAATACCTGGGAATAAAAGCTGAAATGTTGATCTCTTGTCTCATATTCATCTTTTGATGTCAAACCCAAATGTTTTCAGTCTACAACAAAAGTAAACGAATTGGCCTCACTGTTCCAATACTTTTGGAGGGCACTGTACATTGTTCATACATGAGGCAGAAAACAAGACATTTATACAAGATTAAACATAAGTTTTCCTTTAATATGTTAGACAAAAAAGTCAGGACATTTTAACATCCGTCTGTACCGATTTTACTTAAAAAGGCATCATGTTCCAGTAAACCCTGCGGTGCCAAGGCAGATGTCACACTGAAGTGAAAGAGGCAGCTGCCTTTCGTTCTAACTGTGCAAATATCTGTCTGAATGTCTCACTGATTAGAGACAGGATCTGGTCAGTGCTACAGTACTAAAGGATGGGGTACATGACCTCAGCTTTAGGGGATGTTTGCTTAAACCGAAGACAGAGCTTCTTGTTTCATTTCACAACACATTTATCACAGTGGACTTTCCCCAAATTCCAATGATGTTCTGTAAAGCTCTCTGTAACCACGATGACTGTGGGAGTCTAAGCTTTAGTTAAAGGCTTTATGTTTGGCTTGTGTGTGGACTCTGAGAGCAGATTACAAACACATTTTAAAAGCTTTGAATACACAAAGTACACACACACACGCACACACACACACACACACATTGGTGTCACATGCTATCAGGTTTGATTATATTTGCTTCAGGATGTTATATGATCACTAGCATCGCTTTCCAGGTGCTTTCCAGGTGCTTTACAGGTAGAGTCACAATGGAGACATGAACATCAGTCACTGTTGAATAGAGTGGTGCAGGAAGGAGTCCTAAAGCACAGAAACCAGTTAGGGTTTTAGCACTTTGGTTTCCTTTACAAAGTTCAAAGAATTTGGTTAGATGTCTGAAATAAGGTCTGTGGTTAACACAAGCGAAAGAGATGGTTGCTAACAAGGGGTACTTGTGTTAACAAGCTGAGCCTGTCAGTGGCCAAAAGAACCACTTTTAGTGGACGTAAATATGACAAGGCGTACCTGCCCTGAGTGGTTCCTCTGTTGCCTGTTTTGCCGCTGCCGTCTGCAGCCCTTTCTCACAGTACTGGACCAACTTCAAAAACTCCTGTTCACACGAGTCACTTGCACTCAAAATGTTTTTGTACCTGTGAAGCACTTTGTCACCCTCGATTTCAAATGTGCTGCTGTGTAAATTAAATTTTACTTCATTGCAACTTAACATTTAACTTCAGCTTTGTCTCTTTGCAGATTCAGTGAGCAGCGAACCAGACCTATACTATGCTGACATTGATATTTCTGAAGACAGAAGCAGTCAGGTTGGTCTGCAAACACACCCACAGGTAATGTGTGATGGAAATTATGTCCCCTGTTTCCAGGCCATGCTGTTATCAGCAGTGTTTGCATAGTTACCCTCTCACAAAGTAAATCTATCATGTCTGCTAGAGTCACTGAGGGTTTCGATGTGGCGTCTCACATCTGTTACCTAACATGTCTATCTTCATGTAGTTCACTGTAAACATGCAAATATCTAAATATCTGCCAACTATGAACATTAAAAACTGCTGGTCTAAGTTTATGCACTTAAGAGTCAGCTCAATTAACCAGGACAAACAATTTACCTGCTAACTGGCCAGCAGCATCATATAGTAAAGCAAAAGGTAAATATTAACTTGCATCTGTCACGTATCACCTACATAGCTTAGGTGGTTTGACTATCAAAAAGACAGAATGTGACCAGATCAGATAGATTTATCAGTAGAAAGGACTCTCTTAAAGTCTTCATACCACTCACTTCCCTTATTTTTTCTTCCAGAGGGGAACTTTACCAGATTCATCAGAAAGTGCCGACAGCTCCAATCTATCAACAGTCTATTATAAACTGGAGGCTCATCCAATGGTGCCGATTCATACAGACACTCTTTATAATGTCTGAGACCAAACGATGGACTGCTCACATCATCATCAAATATGGCAGCTTAGTCAGATGTCCTATGTTTCAAACTAGGAGCTGTCAAGAACAGTTAAGTTCTGAACTAAAGGAATTGATTTGGTGGTGTGTTGTCTGTTAGTGGGTCATTTCCTGTGCAAATGGCTGAAATGAGTGAGACTGTACAGAGAATATGATGACTTGAGGGCTCATTCCCCCCCCCGACTACTATCTGGGACCCCTCCAGTGTCACTTTTGGACGTGTCATTCTCTGTGTCAATTTACGCTCATTACGTCTTACAGTGTCATCAAAATAAACTTTTGTCTTCACAGGAAATGTGGTTAGGTTTAGAGAAATGATCTGACGACTGTGTCACCTGACAACTATATCACGTGACATACACCAGTAACTACATTATGTGGTTAAAAAAAAACTGAAGTTGACTTTGTCTCACACGGGACACAAACAGCAGTCTCCTGGGTGAAAGTCCAGTGTGTGTTTGACCCCACCACAACTCCTTCTTTCCACTGTATTCTGTAACGGGTAGTATTAGGACCTAATTGCAACACAACAGAGACCAGGAACAGTCTGTTATGGCGTTTACTTTTACAACTCAGCAGATACAGGTCTGGACCAGTAAACAGCACACAATACAGTTCAGCACTCCAGCAAAGTCTCTCCACAAGGGCCTTGGCAGCCTGGCTGGTTTGGCAGGCTGAACCGGGCCGAGAGGCAGGTGAGTGAGTGGTGGCATTAGCAACGGTACCGTGAAGGAGCAGGCAGGGGATGTAGTCATGGAGGTAGAAGGTGCAGAACCAGGTAAATGCACAGTCCAGGTAGGCAAACCAGTAGGAGACAGGCAGAAGATAGGTCAAGGCCAGGCAGAGAGCAGAGAAGCTAGCAGGTAAGTACTCACAGGACTCACAAATACAATGGGAAGTGTGGCGACCGCAGGAAACCAGAGTTAAGCAGACTGGAACCCTCACACTATAGCGTCGTCATCAGATGGTAACATCAAGCAGCCACAGGCAAACAGGAACCCAGGATGTGGAAGCAGATGTCATGGTCAGGGACAGAAGTGTGGTGCGTTCACCAGGAATAAGATGAAGCAAGCAGGTCAGAGACAGGCGGGGTCTGCTATGGGAAATCAGTCTGGAAGAAAATGCTGGAGAGTCTTGCATGAGTGGCGAAGAACAATCTGGCAGTGAGTGTCTGTGAGGCACGGGTATATATTGTGGCTGTGAGTAATGAGGAACAGGTGAACTGAGTTGCCTTGACGAAGTGGTTGTGATTAAAGCTGAGGCTCTGGAAACCGAGGAGAGCAGGTGACCAGAAATTCAGAATTCTGACTTTCTGGCTCTTTCTGCAACGTAATTGCGGCAGACGGGATTACATAAGAGTTAGTTGAAAGTTAGATATTCACCACCCTGGGAATGAGAACAGATTGCTCACATACATGGACAACAGAGCGATTCCAGAGACAGTGGACCTTTTGGTTTTGATTTACTCATATTTGCACTGTTTGTAGACAATCTGAAGGACAGATGTGATGAATGCATTTCATTTTCTATTTATTTTATATTATTGTTCTTGTAAAATATTTATTTTTACTGAATCTTTGTCTCACATTATTAAGGTTTGCATTTTTTTCTAATAGCCAGCAGGGGATGACTCCACTGGCTGCAAAAAAAAAAAAAAAAGCTTGACTGAACACGTTTATGTGAAAATGACTCTTCATGAATTTTCATTTTATTATCTCAGTAAACATTTTCCTACTGAGATTATGGTCTCAATCACTAGTTTTAAGTCTTCCTCAGAACAGCGTGATGTTCATTCTGTAAATTACGGTCCCATTTAGAGTAAAATAGATGACAAAGTATGGTATAGAAAAGATCTTTATTATCATTGTGCTTCAAACAATGAAAACCCATTTAGCAACTCCTCAGTATGCTTTAAAGTATGTGTCTGCCTTGTGAATGACAAGTAGCTATCATGACGTTGTCGTCGGGTTCTCAGTCAGATCCACCCTCTCGCCCAAATATGATCACTTCTGGCTCCAAAAGACTGAAACGACACCGTCAAAATTACCAAACCAAAAGCACTAAAACAGTAGTCCACAAACCAGTTGGTGATGTCACAGTGGCCACTTCTTTATACAGTGTATGGTTATTGATTACTTTAATTTTCTAAGGCAGATGGTTGCCATCAATTTTTTATGACGACTCCCCATTAGTCGTCATAAAAAACCTTCACAGCAGATGGTAGGCATTGGAAAGAATACAGTCATTGTTTGATAGCCTGCAGGCAGGTGCAACTCATGCTATAAAAAAACGGCTTCAATCATAGGAAGCAGGAAAAGAAAGACAATAGACAACAGTTTGGTTGGTTACATGTAGGTTAATACTGTGTATTCATGTTTCCTTACAGGATTACCTTTCAACTGGTGCTTCCAGTCCATGTAGTATAGTATTCATTTCCTTGTAGACATAAGCAGGCCTGCTCTCAGTGGGGTCAGAAGGTACAGATGACCCCTACCCAAGGCCAAAGGGGGGCCCATGAAAAGGTCTAAGGTGACCCTTTTATGAGATCGTGTCCAACATTTCCTTACACTGACAATACGAGTTATATGTATTTACATGATAAATAATTATATTTTTAACACTGAAACACATTTCAATGTGCCATATGATATGATACACTTATTTTGGTGTATTTCAATATTTCTGCACACTGGGGTTTCTAAACAGTCTTGGGATGAGATAAATTGGGTATGACTGTAAAACTGAGTTGACAGCCACACTAGGCTATCTCAGTTCTGTACACAGTTTAAGAGATAAGATAAGATAAACTTTATTGTCCCACAAGGGAAATTAATCTTGGGCAGTATAGTGCAAACTGCTGCAATATTCACATACATACATACATACATACATACAATCAACACAGACAAGTTGCCAACATAGTGCACTGAGTGTGTTACAGTTACAGACTACTGGTGCAAGAATAGTGTGACCATTTGCCTTGTATGTAAGGTTACAAACAAAGGGAACTACAGGTATTGCACTGGCCTATCTCAAAGTGCAAGTGAGTGCAGATAAAAACAAATAAATACAGAGGTCAAATAAAAACACCAGTAAAAAGAGTTAAAATTATATTAAATCAGTTGCAAATAAAAATCAGTTGCAAATAAAAACAATACTAGAACAACAATGACCAGACCACTCAGGCATAAAATAGCCCTGCGCACATATGGCTCAACCAGGGGGGCATCGCAGGGCCAGCAGGTGAGCAGGCAACCACCTATTAGCATAATTGAGGAGAATTCAGTAATAAGCAATGGTAAACAGTGATTAATGGTGAATTTGACAGGCAGGGGATCAGCAGCCATAAGCCTCCCCCCTGCCCACATGTTATATGTTCCATATAAAATTACCAGAATGGAGGTGGGTCCACAACAGTGAGCCCTCCCCATCACCCGACCGAGGTCAGGTGGTGGGGTGGAGGGGGGCTAGGGTAGTGGATCCGCAGCAGTAGGCCTCCCCACTACCCTAGTGGGGGGAGGGAGGGGCTCTGCCATGAGAGGTGTTTGTTTGTTTGTTTAATAATAAAATGGAAGTGGGAATAAAGGACAATTTGAACAGGAACTCCTACACCTGCTGGCTCTGTAGCGCCTCTCCGACGGCAACAGCTCATACTCCTGAAAGAGAACATGAGAAGGATCTTATTTGCTCCCTTGACAACTGCTCCCTCATATATTGCCTGGAGGGACTGGAAGTGATCATTTTTCCCCACTATCTTCACAGCTGTAGTCACCATTCTCTGAAGTCTGGCCTTACACTGGACTGTGAGGGAGCCGAACCACACTGCCATGCCGTATCTTATAATACTATACTCTTATAATACACAGCGTTATAGAATGTTAACATGATCTCGGTTTGGACCCCAAACAGCTGCAGCCTTCTGAGAAAGTGTAGCCTCTGAGCTAGTCTGTTACAGAGGAAATCCACATGATCACTCCAGCAAAGGTTATTAGACACCATCAGGCCCAGGTATTTATACGAGGACACCTGTTCAATAACGCAGTTATCAAAGATTACCGGGTCATGAGCTGCAATTTCTTTAGGATCAAAAATCATCTCTTTTGTCTTTTTGGTATTTAACACCAGGAAGTTATTGTCACACCAGATTTTGAAGGTGGCTATCTCACTGAAGTACACAGAGGGGCAGGCATTCACATCCAACAGACTTAAGATGATAGTATCATCTGAAAATCTGATGACATGGTTGTTAGGATGTGAACTCCTGCATTCATCAGTGTACAGAGTGAAGAGGACCGGGGAGCTGACGCTCTGATTACAGCTCTGATTACAGCTGCCTTCAAGATTTATAAATGAAGGAAAGACTTAAGTAATTAGTAATATAGTAATTCCACAATCAGGTTCTTGAGTTTTCTTGATTTTTTCTGACCAAGGAAACTGAAGCCGGAACAGTTAATCAGTACAAATGTCAGAGGGCTTGGAGTTGTGTCAGAAAGTTTGACTTTAGCTCCCTCTAGTGGTTGCATCAGAAAAGCTAAAGAGGCAGACAGCAAAACATGCCACTACCAAACATGCCCCCATCAAAAATGTCAAGAAATTAGATTGAATAATCAAAATAAAGTAATCTACAACATGTCCTGTGGCTGTAAAGTTAGCTTCAAATTAGATTATGTCTATTTCCTCAGCTGTGAGGGAAGAGGCTTAGTCTTACATTTCTCTCTCTCAGTCACTTTGACCAGCCAGCTAATATCTCAAACACACACATCCAGTTCCTATGGTGTCTGACACACTTTATCTCCTCCTATTTCTTATATTATATATTTTACTATATTTATTATTATTAGCAGCAGTACTTTTATACATATGCCATGCTCATACTGTAATGTAATTTATATCCTGTGTTATAATGCTGTACAAAACTGTTTAATATGTCAGACTTCATTAATGCATTTCACCTTATATTATATATAGGCACTATAACATGAGTGGGAGTGCTGTTGTACTGAATATCAGCACTGCTGTAATTCACTTGTGTCTCGGTTTGGTCGGTTTGGTGTGTCTAAGCCTTAAAACAACAGTCTCTCCTGTTTTGTTGTATAAGCAAGCAGAAGTCCAACGACAGTCAAAGCGACAGTCTAATGTGGTGGCACTAACATTATTAGTGTTCCAAGATCAAGGCTGAGCAGCACCAGATACTGATGACTCCAGAACATGAGGGATGGGCAGTTGAACTTGCGTATGATGGCATCATTTGTTTTCCAAAAATGTTTCCTTTACCAGACTATCTCTACTAAATAGAGAAAGACAGTGAAAGCCACATCAGCATAAAGAGTAGGACGTGTAACATATAGGTTGCAAGATGAGTTCAGATTAATGACATGATAAATACTCCACCTGAACTGGGACCACTGCAAACAGTGCTAAACAGTGCCACAACAAATACCACTAAATGTACTGCATAGTTGTGTTCAAAATAATAGCAGTTGAAAAAAGTGTGTAAAACCCAGTGTCAGCATTTTTCTTTACAAACTCAAACATTTACTACATAAACTGAAAAATGCTTGAAGATTTAGCTTTCCCGTGAATCCTTGAACTAATATTTAGTTGTAAGACCACTGTGTCTGAGAACTGTTTCACATCTGTGTTGCATGGAGTTGACCAACTTCTGGCACCTGTAAACAGGTGTTCCAGCCCAGGACGACTGGACTATGTTCCACAATTCCTCTGCATTTCTTGGTTTTGCCTCAGAAACAGCATTTTTGAAGTCACCCCACAAGTTTTCTATAGGATTAAGGTCCGGGGATTGGGCTGGCTACTCCATAATGTCAATCCTGTTGGTCTGGAACCAAGACACTGCTCGCTTACTGTTGTTGTCTTGTTGAAACACCCATTTCAAGGTTATTTCCTCTTCAGCATAAGGCAACATGACCTCTTCAAGTATTTTGATGTATTCAAACTGATCCTGTTCCCTGTTCTTCCCATATCATGATGCTTGAGCCACCATGCTTCACTGTCTTCACAGTGTACTGTGGCTTGAATGCAGTGTTTGGGGGTTGTCTGACAAACTGTCTGCGGCCCCTAGACCCAAAAAGAATAATCTTGCTTTCATCAGTCCACAAAATGTTGCACCATTTCTCTTTAGGCCCAGTCAGTATGTTCTTTGGCAAATTGTAACCACTTCGGCACAAGTCGTGTTTGCAACAATGGGGCTTCTTGCCGATAGCTTGGCTTCACATAGGCGTCTTCTAATTGACCTATGGCTAAGCCACGCCCCCCTCCACTCATTCAGACAAACTATCAATATTCAGTGACTGGGCGCTATGGCAGGTGTCACAGTACACGGCATTCCGCAGGAGGCAATTGATGATTTTTGGAGACATAACGATCAGATGTCATTGAGAAGTAACCAAAAGGGCCTGAACTACGCATTGGAGGAATATATTCATCATTTTATTGTTGAGAAGGTCGATGAAAAGCTTAAATTACAAGCCAAAATTTACAGGTCACAGTGTACGCTTGTGAACCGCATCTCATTGCCGTTGCCATCAAAGACAACAAGTTAAAGTGCCACTGAAGTTAAGGTTTTTGGCTCAGAATATGAGAAAAGGATAACGGCCTTTTTACCATCTTTACCAAGAGTGTCTCTCTGTTAGTTTGGTGCTACAGTATTAAACTGAATCATTCAGCATAACATTTGCCAACCTTTGTTATCTCTGTGATTACAGATAAATTAATGAAGCT